TTTGTGAATATAAAGTAGAATTTAGGACAGGAGCATGAAAAATAAGTGTATGAATTAATTTTTAAAAATCAGTTGCAAAGTTCCTGAATGTCGATCACAAGACTTTGGGGATGCTACAGTGATTGTAAAGGCAAGAACTCTGGTTATAAAGTTTTCAGCATGATGTAACTTTGAACGCTTACTAACTGGGGAAGTCATTAAGCCAAGTCTACCTCTAAGTCATTATAGTGAGGAGCAATATGTTTAACAGATACAAATTGAAAATATCAAATTGACCTTCAGTGAAGGTTTTTATAAACCTAGAACCTCATTATAATACTCTCATCTCAAATGATTTAGTCTGCATGGAAACAGAAATGATTCTTTTGAAATTAATAGCCGGTATTTGCCAATTTTTTAATTGGCTTAACATTTTCTGATTCTTCACTGGTTCCATGTCTTTTCATCAAGGTGGAAACTAAAAATCCTAGCTAATTTGTGTTATGGCAGTCTCTCTTTTCTCAGCTATCCATAGGTTTAGAGAGAATTTCAGCCAAATTCCTTTAAAGAATTTTAGATTTCACACAGCAGACCATTCGTGACCAATGGTGAATTTCATTTTCAAAACTCCTTATACTTAAAACCACTTATTCAGTGTTCTTTACCAAGAATACTGTAGAATCGTCTTTTCTTTGGCTTCTTCAGTGTTATAACATTTACAATATTAGATGAGAGATATAATACACCAGGAGGACTTGTACAACTTGAGAACATAGAGCTGGATATATTCCACAGAAGACTTAGGTCTGGATCAAGTGACTCTATTAATGTTTTATGTCAGAGAACATATATTTATTAAATATATAGGGAACGTAGATGTGCAGATTGCTTTGGTTTTGAACAATTTCAATTAATTTTGTGCATAACATTCCATTTCAAGTATAAATTATTGTCTTGGTTATTTGGGAAATGTCTTGATCTTGGTATAAAATGATTCCAAGCCTGAAAAAACTGTCAAAAAATTCACAGTACAAATGGTTTATTTCTTGAAGTTTCACACACAACTGTGGTTCATAATGTTTGTACAAGTCAGTGGGATTTGCTATAGAGATATCTATTTGCTATAGAGATATCAAATGTAATTTTTGCCCTATTCCCATTTATTTCTTTGTCTTATTGATCTCATTGTTAGGGCAGATCAAATAATTTGTTTATCAGACAAAATCATTAACTTACTATATTTATTTATTTATTTATTTATTTGTTCAACTTGTATGCCGTCTTTCTCCGAAGACTCAAGGCAGCTTACAATGCATTAAAAACCATATATAAAAACATTAAAAATTAAAACATTAAAAACAATTAAAACCCATTCACACCATTCATGGCCGGATCTTGCCATATCGCAACAGCAAGATCAACGGCCCCAGGCCTGCCGGAAAAGCCAGGTCTTCACCACTTTTCAGAAGGCCAATAGGGTGGGGATGGTCCAGATCTCAGGAGGTAACTGGTTCCATAGAGCTGGGGCAGCCACAGAGAAGGCCCTTCCCCGCAGGACCGCCACTCCGCACTGTTTAGCTGATGGGACCTGGAGGAGACCAATTCTGTGGGACCTTACCGGTTGCTGGGAGCTATGCGGTAGAAGGCAGTATCGAAGATAACCTGGCCCTGAGCCATGTAGGGCTTTAAAGGTAATAACACCTTGAATTGTGACCGGAGACCAATAGGGAGCCAGTGCAGTGTACCTAGGTGCACCCACGACAGCTCGCGCAGCTGCGTTCTGGACCAACTGTAGTCTCTGAACACTTTTCAAGGGTAGCCCCATGTAGAGCGTGTTGCAATAATCTAACCGTGAGGTGACAAGGGCATGAGTGACTGTGGGGAGAGCCTCCTGATCCAAGTAGGGTCGCAATTGGTGCACCAGGCGAACATGTGCAAAGGTCCCCCTAGCGACAGCTGACAGATGTTGCTCTAATCTTAGCTGAGTCTAGGAGGACACCCAAATTGCGAGCCCGTTCTGAGGGGGACAATTTCTCCCCCCCCCCCAGAACCAAGGTATTCCATCTAATATGGCCAAGCTGCATTATACGCCAAAAATTTGGTAACCTCAAGATTTAGAACAGTTTTCACAATGGAAAGAAAAAACAGGATTGAAATATCTGCTGATTTCTGGAATGACATGGTTTAATTTAGTGAAAGAAGGGGAAAATCTTCACAGGTTGATAGGTAAATAAAATGGAGTGGGAAGAAGGTAACGTACAGTCATGTGAAAAAGTAAATACAATTTTTTTTTGCATATTTGGGAGTTTTAAACATTTATGCAGTTTTTATTGTGTATTTTAAATCCATGTATTGGACTTACTGGATACCGCCAGACTCACTTGGGCTTGGACAGACTTAACACAAACATACATACATGAGACCCAGATAAAAGATAGAAGAGATTTTAACAATGCATTGCAGATTAAGTATGAAAAGTAGAGTTATGTCGAAAGATAGTGGAAAGGGAAAGAACTATCGTAAATGACTGGGAGTGAATGGGGTAGAATCTTGAACAGAGCATTCCATATTGATTTTTTTGCAATACCCAATTTATAAATAATACCCACAACAATTTTTCCAAAGTCATCTTCCTTGCTTTAGCAAGATAGTCACTTTCACACAATTCTATTGACCCAGGTTGATGGGGAAACTATGTAATTCATATTATCTCTGTAACATGGTGGCAATTGCTTTGGATATTTGATTATATTTATTTGTTCATGTTTTGCTTGTTGTATAATATAGTGAGGTTTTTCTTTATAGAGAAACTATTACTAATTACTGTACTCACCATTAAAAGTAGGCTTCTACTGTGCTTAAATATAAGCACATACTAAATAAAGATACTATTAAATTAAGATTTATTCTTTTTCTTCTCTGTTTGAATTGACTCTTCAGGTTCTCAGAGGGAAATTTATTTGTTAGCCAAGATGAGAGTGAAATGTGCTACATGTGCAGAAATATTATTTTAACAAATCTGTAGGAGCTCAGTGCTTTTATGTTTTAGAGTTTTTATTTTAGCGGCAATGGAAATCATCTTGTACCAAGGAGTTAACATGATTTTCAGAAAAATTAATTGGATACTCAACTTTAGAAATATTTGAAAGTTATGAAAAGTTGAAAATCAGCGGAAGGCATTAAAAGTTGAAAATTAATAAAAAGATTTATTTTTATTCACATTATTACACAAAACCATCTATGAGTTTTCCATGATTATAAACAAGACCTTGTCATAGTGTGATATTATCCATTATTTTTATTGTTTTTATAGACTGAATGAGCACTTAAGATAAACATTAGAGAAATATATAGCAAACAACAAATAACAAATAAAGATTGTTTGGGAAATAGATCTTGCTTTAACAAAATATTGCAAGGCTAGATTTGTCACCTGATTTTTTTTCTGCAGTTTATTACAAATGACTTTATGCTATTTCAACCAATTGAATATAAGTAGTTTGCAAAGCAAACATGTTGCATTGCTAGAAAACATAATAAACACATAATTGTGCAAATATATTCAGAATAACCTCATAAATCCAAAATAACCACGCCATTATTCATTTCAATGCATCCTGTATTTATTTGTCAATCTTCAAATGCTCTTTGAAAAACTAGTTCCTATGCTTTATAAATAAAAGTGAAAGTGCATATTTAATTTCTAAAAGTAAATTTTCCTATAAAAGAGGAGCACCTACAAACAGCTCTACCCTCCATGTCCCCTCCTATTACACCGTATGGAATAGGGACTTTCTCCATATGCTATCTGTTGACATACTTCTCATCTCCTTCCAATGTCACTCCAAGCTTCTGTTTTGATGTCATGTCCGGGAATTCTGTAAATCAAACAGCTCTCTAGGATTTGTACTCAAGAAAAAATGTTTGGGAGCTATCTTGTTGGGGGCCTTTATTACTTCCACATTTCAGAGATCAATAAGGCTCCTGACAAAGCCTCCCTTTAGATTGGTGGGAAACTCTGAAGTGACTGAATTTTGCCTGGAGAGCAGGTACTTATGTTAACAATTCAGGCAGAATGGGCACCCACAAGCATTTGTCACATGTTTGCACAACACGTGGAGAGAAAGAAAGAAACAAGGTATAAAACCAACTATATGGCACAGCCTGCCATACATCAAAAACATTTCGGAAGAAAGCAGCTTCTGAGATCTGCAAGTAGGCATCTCACAGAGGCTACCATTTGAGGACCAATTATACATTGCAAAGATTGCTTGGAAGTGAAAGATACTTCCAATGTAATATACAGGATCACCTACATGGACCATGTATGATAGATTGCAGAACACAAGCGGTCAGGCAAGGAGATCTGAACTCATTGGTGGCCTCACATTGCAATGAACAAGGACAAACATTCAATTTTGCAGCTACTAAAATTGTTGGATGAGCAGGCACAAAAACAGCCAGGGAAATGATTGAAGCCTGGGAAATGGATCCCTTGTCAGTCAACAGGAGCGCTGATTTACCACCAGTTTATCAATGCTTAGGAAGTGAGGCCTTGGCAGCACAAGGAAATGGCAACTAATGACTTAATAGCTGATCATCAACATCCCAATCAACTACTAAAAAGAGTCACACAACCAGGCACTATATAACAGAATATTATACAGAATAGCACACACACACACAGAATAGCCCAAAGCACAGAGAGGAATTCCCTGAACATGGGCTCCAGCACAATTCCAAAAGCTTGGAAGAAGTAAACCATTGGTCCCGGTGACTGACCCAGATTGGTTCCTTCAACAATGTTCTGGGATGTGTATATTCGCCTTCATTTGTGATATAAAACATGACTGAGAAAGTAATATCTGTAATTATTTGCCTGTGATATAGATCTATCTTATCAACTTGTATGATATTCTTATTGATAAATTGACAGTGAAAATAATGTGGAAAAATGAAATTGAAGTTGCCATGTAACTAATTCACTTTGTTTTATATTTATTGTTTGTGTGTGTGTGTAGGACTACAAAGACGCCATCAATCTAATGCCAAACAATAGAGATAATGGTTTAATTCCTGGAAATGACAAATTTAAGCCGGTGTTACCCTGGCCTCATGTTGAAGGTGTGGAAGTAGACTTGGAATCAATTCGACGAAGGAATAAGGCCAAAAATGAGAGATTTCCTCATGCTGGTGAAAAGAATGATCAGCAAAATATTATGCAGAGACAGTATCTTACATTTAAGCCACAGACAAATATCTACCATGACCCTGTATTGCGACCTGGAATTCTTGGTAATTTTGAACTCAAAGAACCTGAATCCCATGGAGTTGTAGGTGGTCCTGGTGAGGAAGCCAAGCCATATGTTTTAGGACCAGAATATAAAGAATCTATTCAAGCCAGCATTAAAGAATTTGGGTTCAACATGGTAGCAAGTGATATGATATCATTAGATCGGAGCATTAATGATTTACGCCAAGAAGAGTAAGTTTTAGTTCTGCCTCTATTTTATACTTATTCAAGAGTGATATAATTTCAGTAAAACTGATAACACCATTCTTATATTGTGTTTACTGTGATAAAGATGTAACAGTTTTCAAGGCATCCGCTGCCCCCCCCCCAAAGTAGGAAAAAATAGAGAACTAAATATTTCCTACCACTTCTACTACTAATGATGATTTATTAAACTAGTACACCACCTGACTCTTAATGGTCTGGCAATTTCACAGCCACTAAAGAAATAAATGAAAATATAAAAGATGGCAAGCACAGCTAAACAGAAGAAATGAAGTGAGGGGCTCACTTTTCCTCATCAAAAGTCTGGTGAAGGGTCAGCTTTTCATGACTATTTTAAACAATAGAAATGGGGACCATTTGTATCTTAAATAATACATGGTGTTATGTAAACGAGATAGGTAGCACATAAAATAAAACAGGCAGAATGAAATTATACAAAAGAAATCTGTCTTTAGAATACTCACATCAAACTAAAATAGACTTGTGAAGGAATTCAGAAACTTGCTTTAGCGTAGACAAAATTCAAAGTTCAGAAGCATATGCAGTAATAAAATGATAAAAGCATAGAAGAAAAAAATGCTGTTAAATAGAACCTTTAGTTCAAAACCTGAAGTTGATTGGAAGATGTATCACTTGAAAAGACTTAAAAGTCAACTATTTTCTGAATAAACTATATTTTACATTTTTATACAAAACGTCCTTTTATAAGTAAACACAGGAATATATAGTGACAACATTCCATGCAAAGCCTACACAACCATCTGTTTTGAATGACTTTGAATTCCTACACTGAGCAGAGAGTTGGACTTGATGTCTAAATAATCTCTTCCAAGTTTATGAAGTAACAAAGTATATGTAAACAATATTTTAAAAATAAACATGACCTGTACATTAATTTTTCCCAAATTTTCAATTTTTTATTGAAAAAAATGAAATCTTTGCTTCAAAATCCCTGGACATTATACAGTTTTAGTTAGAATTTCATAATTTATCTTTTATTTCTTCTATGTAATGTATTCCATGCCTTAAAATTTGATAATCTACCTTTCACCATATTTTTCTGCAATAATTTTCTTTCTTCTGCATTATCTAATACAGCTAAGCATTTAGCTTAGCATTTGTATAGCATTTAGCTGTGCCTAAGCATTTGTAATAAAGCATTTGCTTTATTTTTTATTTAATAAGCTAAAAATATAAGTTGATTTTGGCAGGTATACAAAGCAGCCTAGCAAAAATACATTTCCAAAATGTTATTTAAAAGTTATGTGAATCACAGTACTACATGCATAATTGCAGTTCTAATTTCAGTAAAAATAATTTATTTGTAGTTCAGTTTTTATAAAGGTAGTATTTTACTAGAAAACTTACATATTAAAATAACGATATTTAAAATAGCAATAGCCAGTTTGATCTGGTGGTTAAGCTGCTGACCTAGAAATCAGGAGACTGTCATTCCCGCCTTAGACATGAAAACTGGCTGGGTGAGTTTGGACTGGTCACTCTCTCCCAGACCAACCCACTGTCCAGGGTTGTTATTATGCGGGAAATAGGAGAAAAGTGTGTTAGGCATGTTTGCCACCTTGAGTTACTTATTAAGGGATAAAGTGAGGATAAAATCTAATAATGTAATACACGTGCTAGCTTTCAAATGATGGTAAGGAGCATTAGATGTGTGTAGAGGAGTATAGATAGCAAAGTTAGTATGTGGACAATTATGACTATCAAATTGCAAAGCATCCTAATATGGCATTAAATCTGAGGGTCAGCCTTCAAAGGTCTTTGGGATCTGCTCATTTGTATTATTTTTATTATTTATTTATTTATTATTCGAATTTCTATACCGCCCTTCTCCTTTCGGACTCAGGGCGGTGAACAGCCAAAATAAAAACATTTATACATAAATACGATTAAAAATAGATTTAAAATAATTAAATTTGGCCCATAGTTTAAAATTTATCAATTTAAAATCCATATCAAAATTTAAATTTAAATTTAAAACCAATCATAAAATCAAGAGAGACCGGCTAACTGAAATTAAATAAAGATCTTCAATAGCCATCTTGTTTTGGTATGTTTTTGATCTGAAATCCTGGCTTCCTTTCAACTTATTAGCTGGGAGCCTTAACACAAGTGTTTCTTCATATATATCATGAAACCAAAGACAGATCTTATTTTGTTCTCTTGTAGTGGAAGTTCCTTATGTCGATATAAAATTTTCAGTCCATTTGCTTTTCTACTGTCAAAACAATAGATGATCCTTTCATTGTTCAGCCACCTGCAGTTGGAATTGGGAACTTGTTCTTGCTCCTAGGGAGAATATTATGGCATGGAACAAACCAGTTTGGTCATTTACATTAACCAGAGAATTATCAGCTAAAGGATCTTGCTTAAACTTTTTTATTAAGAGCACTTGTTAGAAATAAGACAAAATTACCAGCTAAATGTTTGTTTTTCATTTTCTCCATTTAACATATTTATTTCTACATAATATTTTTGCATTGTAACAATTGAATTGTGAAGGCCTATTTTGTCCTATAGTATAAATTGTTAAAAATATTAAATGATTCATTAGTATTCAGTAGCCTTGGGAGGATATTACTGCTGGGAGGAGAAAATAAGTAGAATCCATAGGACTTGTTAACAAAAAAGAGCAAGACTATACTGTAACATGGAATTTTTACAATGCATGTTTTGTTGATGATAATTTTATGACATGTGCTATATATTACTTTGAAAATTGTTTAGGAATAATGAGCTTAACTATTTAACACATTTTTACAAACTTTCTATAAAACTTTCATAGTTACAGTATTGATGCGACATAATGCAAGAATGACATCAGCATTACATTTTCATTGAGGAAATTATGTCTTTTTCTTTCTAACTTGATAAAATAAAACAAACTTTTTATCCTTTTATCAAACATTTAATTAATGTAAGGCATTTGTCAACTTCTTGATTATGCTATTATTAGCAAGCCAAATTCTTTTCTGCAGTGTGTTTTTTGTTACGGCTCTGCAGTGCTTTACATTCAAAGACAAAAATGTACTTTTGATGTGGGGAGTAGATAGTCTACAGTTTGCAATTCCTTAAAGAAACTGAGTTATCTTGGCAAAAAATGTTCTACTGGGTATATAACAATATGCTGTTTTATTACAAGAATGGTTTTGTAAATACCTATTAAGAGTATCTTTTTTCTTTTTCTCTGTCTTTCTTAGAATACAGTATAGAAGTCTTTAAAACCTGGCCTCTTTCTGGGATTCAATTCTCACATAAACATAAATAATGAGAAACATTTCAAATTCTTCTACTGCCACAAATTCATAAATAGGCATTCAGAGATTTTTCAGAGAGCATGGATTCAATCCTGAAATAGGCCTGTGAGAAATTTTGAAATTGTGGAGACCCAAGATGGATAGTATTGTATTAGACAAGCAAATATTTTAATTCAATAAATGCTGTCTTTCTAGGATAGAAATGTATTTTACTGGTATGCAAATTAGTTCCACTATTGAGGAGCTTGACAAATAGTACAGTATAGAGCTTTTATCATATGTCAGTAAAAAACCATTCTCCAGCGCGCTGCTTGGAGAATACAAAGTGAGGGTTATTCAACAGACTAGCAGTCAGCACTTAGTGTATGTATCTTCAGGCACGCCCCCTTGCTCGTCTGAGCTTCAGTTTTTATTCACTCAGTCAGCTATCAGGACTTACTTTCCTCACTCTGGTGCATAGACTTTTAAATAATTTGCTTTGGATTCTCTTTCTTCGTAATTTCACGGACTTAGCCTTCTAAGGACTATCTTTGGATAGGCAGGAGGAGTTCTCCTCTCTTTCCTTTTTCTCACTATTCCCTGAAGGGTGAGTCTTTCTGAGTTTCCAGACCGACTACCCTATTGAGCCGCGTTGCCTCGTAGAAGCTCTGCCTTGCCTAAGGCACCTTCTTACAGCAGTCCTCTGGTGCCTACTGAGGTTCCCCCGGACTTCGCAATTCCATCCACAGCGGCTACGGAGTCCCTGCCCTGCTCTCAGTGGCACACTCCCTCAGGTTGGAGTCTTTTGCTGCTTATTGAGTCCCTGCCCTGCTCTCAGTGGCACACTCTTCACTTTATCAGATTTCCGCTGCGCTGGGACCACTTCTGAGTGGTCGCACATCTGCCTGCTTACAGGAGCCTGCCGGCTTGGTGCTGAGGGACAATTATCATTTTCGTGCCAATTTTGTGCTCCGGACGGCTGCCATTGAAAGCGAGTGTGCGCCCCGCTTTAACAGCGATTCTCTGCCCAGCAACAATCTGTGCCTGCACAGTAAGCTCCCGACTGATCTGCCCGGCAACGAAGCTACAGCTGCGCGGTAGCGTTTTCACAGCTCCTTGTCAGCCCGACGCTGTGACTGCGCAGCAGGGTTCCCGACGCCGATTGAGGCCGACAGACTTTACGGCCGCACAGATTCAGCGAGCCGTTCTGCCATCCTTACGGAACCAGCTACTTGGGGGCCTCAAACGCTATGGCTGCGGGGGTTTAGCAAGCCGTGCTGCCGACCTTTGCGGAGCCAGGGCTGAGCAGCTGAGTGACTTCATACAAGTGCTCTCATAGCCTTATCAACGGCCCTCTGCCTTAGTTTGCCAATCTGCCTGTCCTTATTGGAAGCTTGGGGGAATGTTTGCAGGAAGGCCTGACCTGGCACCGTCACTGCTTCCTACTAGAGCTGGGCCGATGTGAGTGGGGTAGCTAGCTAGCGCAACCCCACCCCGCCCAATACCCCCCCCCCCCGGTTTTTTTGCACTCCGGTTTCTGCACTGATCAGCATGGCTGACTGCGACCTTTCTTCCGACCTGGAACATAGTCCGGGGTCCCCAGCAGCTCCGGCCTCTCCAGGTCCTGCACCAAAAAAGGCAAAGAAGCAGGTTAAACATAGGCCTGCCATCGTCAAAAATACGTCAACGGGGAGCAGTAAAAGCTTGTCAGTT